AAATCACAGCTGACCACAATGGCGATGGATTTGGTCTCAGTCAATCTGAATGGCCAAAAGTCAAGTGTCTTGTGCTGTATCTTAGGTTACACCAGAAAAATTCAAGCCAGCTCTTATTGCAGTCTTGACATGATTTTGCTTAGGTTCTCCTAGCTCTGCTTTCAGGTTGTGTGTATATTCCATAGGGTGCCTGCTCTGTAAGCACAGCTATATGTGAAATTTAAATACCACTTCCAAATCCCTAGAATGCTTTTCTAGCCTTAGCTAAAACACCCATGTATTCAATTATCACTTATCTCTTAGGAGTAACATTTATTTTCATCATTAACCGAGCACGTGTCCATTCATTTTTAAAGCTACAGTTCTTCCAAGGGAGAGAACAGTAGCTAAAAGGGCTTTTATTTTCTTGTGGTGAAGGCATGCTAAAATAGACATAAAACGCCTGGCATAGTGCAGAGCCAGGTGTCCAATTTTTCCTCTTAATGGCTGGAGGCAAAAAGCAAAAATAGCTTTGACCCACTTCTGCAGGAACCCATATGACCATTCTGTGTTAAGCTCACACGAAGGCAGAACACGCTTCTATTCTGTTAATTTATTCTCTGCAGAAAACAGCTGAACCAAAGGGATTTTTAACTCACTTCACTTGCCATACACACTCACCAGAGCTCATCCCGGTGAAAAAATTACATTCATTTAAAAATATTATTATTTTCAGGCAAGTACCATGGCATGGTCTTACCAGGAGGAAGTGGAATTTAAAAAATATGAAAATCAAGAATTTTTCAAGCAAGAAGCTTAGATAAAATCCTCACCATAGCAGCAGTGCCTGTATCATTCCCACCAGGCTTACTCTGCTGGAAAAGCAACACTTACAGTGAATAATCAGCAGCAGCATACATATGGAATACTGATAAAGGCTTTGGAGAATATGGAAGCTCATCAGGATAACATAATTACAAGACTAAAGGTGAATTATTTACATATATTGAACTATCCCTTCACATCCAGCTTTGTCTTTATTTTTAAAGGAACCCACCTTCCAGATGATTTTTTAGCATTATAAGGGCAGCATCAGACACCTTCCTACAAGCAGAGTTGCTCATAAACTATTTCCAGATTCAGAAAGAGCAATACCTTTTTATAGCACAGGTGATTTGGACATATCAAGCATATTTTCAATTTTTCTCCTTCAAGTTCCAGACACTGAGAAGAGTGCCCTCAAATAGAATGGTTTGGGTTGGAAAGGACCTTAAAGCTCATCCAGTGCCACCCCCCTGCCATGGACAGGGACACCTTCCACTATCTCAGGTTGCTCCAAGCCCCATCCAACCTTGCCTTGGACACTGCCAGGGATCCAGGGGCAGCGCCAGCTTCTCTGGGCATCTGTAACAAATCCATTCTTCTCCTCTCTGTCTTAGAAGCCTTAAGAGCCTCACCCTTTATCTGAGGTCAAACACCAGAGCTGGTTTCCCCAGGCTGACCTCAGCTGACATGAAGCCTCAGCAGTCACAGACACTTGATCTACAACAACGACCAAACTACCCTCCTTGGGTCCAGCTCTTCTTCTGTAAAATAGGATGGTCTTGAAGGTCCTTTCAAGCCCGAAACAGTCAATGAATCTGTGATTGCACTACATAGGTACAAGCACCGCTGTCCTGCAAGTGCCCTGCCAAAAGTTAGATAGCCCAGAGGAAACATCACCGGAAAGGACAACATCACCACCAAGAGTCACTGCAAGCACTGTAACAACCTGCACAGAAGGGCTGCGGTGAACGGCATTTCCACACACACACACACTACAGCTCTCTGTTCCAAACAGGGATGTGGGTGATGGCATTAAACAAAAGGCTGACAGACATCAGCAGGACTAACAGCAGAGGAGAAGCACAAGGCTTCCAAGCAGATCCCTTTTCCCTTTCTGTTACAGGGGAAGAACACCCAAGTGCATTAAGCAGGTGATAATTGTTTTAAAGTTACAAAAAAACCCACCTCTTCCTTGCCCAGTTAGGAGGTATGGATTTTAAACCTTCTGGAAGGGAAGAACCAAGAACTCATCATCAATATCCTCAGCAGATCCCTGCATAGAAGAGTGACAAGCCAAGTGCCATGAGCAGATGGTTCAAGGTTTAGCAAGAACCACTGTCATATGCTAATTTGCTATTAATTACAGAAGCTGTCATGATTACTGCAGCACTGTGCACTGAGGAAGGGTGCCAGAAAACACAGCCCTTAAGGAAAGTTTCTGACTAATAAAGTTTTTGATAAAAACATAGCATTTCTAGTGACCAAAGGGTGAAGAACATACGGTCATTGTGTTTGCTACTATACACACAAAATCTGACATTCCATGTGCAAGGCATCAGCACCAGTGCTAAAGCAAATCCTTACTGGTTTAGGATGGAATCCCAGACTGGTTTGGGTTGGAAGAGACGTTAAAGATCATTTCATTCCCTCCCCCATTGTCCTGGGGGCACATTTACTGCATCCTGCTCCCAAATAATTGTTCCTTCTATCAGTCACCTTCACCCACATTTTGAACCGCTGACTTGAAAGCTGAAGAGCATCATCAGATTTTGAGCAATTGCTGCCACTCATCACTTTTCTCACACGTAAGTTGGTAAGAAAAATGCCAGCAGGTGAAAATTAAAACTGACTCCACAGTTTCTTGCCTCAGCATCCCATCAGCTGCTAAAGTTTGTTCAAAGGGAGGGATAAAGCTACCCAAATCTGCATATTCCCAAAAAGTTTAATGGGTATGTAAATAGATGGTTTTTAATTCCATCAACATTTCCATGACCCTTGAAGTACAGAAATACCAACACCTCTCTGCCCATCAACTTCCCACCCTTTCAAAGACAATTTCCGTATGGATTTTGTACAGAGCAGGTTGTCAATAACAGCATAATAGAGATTTATATCCCTACCTATGTCAGTTCCTAGAGGTTTTCACTCAGGGGTGGTAGCCATTTGTCCTTCCAAGTCTTATCAGTCAGAGCTGCTCAAAACCCAGGCAGACAGGGAAAAAGAGATATCAACAAAGGATAGAAACAACCAAAAACTTCAGGAATTTCCTTCCCCTCAACACACAAATCCTATTAGCAACTAAGTAGTTGTCAGTGTGAATGACTAACAGCAAATATTTCCTATATCATCTGGAAAGAGCCAAGCCCCTGAGATCTCATTATCAGAACCAAGTGCCCCAGCTGACATAAATTATTTACTGCAAACCAGTGGTTTTCATTATGCATATGCATTATATGCTGAAGGTACATCTGTGCCCCAGTTTTAAACCACCATGTACAGACAAAGCTAGAAACAGCTAAAATCTAACATTCATTCCACAGAACAAGATGATGGTCTTGGCTGGTAAGTCTACCCATCACAAGTGATATTACACAGATGTTTGCAATACAACCCAAAGGTAAATGATAATAGCCTGGAGAATATAGGCATTTTTCTTCCTTTTCTTTTTGACACCCTGACAGAAAAGAAAATTCTTGGTCTTAATCACCTGTACCCAAAGCCCAAGGTGATCCATTTCAGTTATCTGAGTGACAGCACACAGGGAAACACAGACATATCAGACCACACTCCTTCCCATTTCCCTCATCTGTTTCAGACATGTTTCTGTCCTCTACGGTGAATTTCAGATGGAAATCTATTACTCATCCCAGAAACCAACACCTTGAGGATTGCAGCATCCAAACTCTGACTGTGGGGTTCCCCCATTTCTTCTCCTTCTTTGACCCCCAGAAAGCAACCCTAAGTGGGTTGTCTGACCACAGTTTCATCAAAATGGAATGAAGTCTCACTTGCTTCTTTTTTAGGACCACACCATAACACATTCATTTCATACTTCCATTTCCTTAACATCCAACTCAACAAGCGTTTTCACACTGATGCCTCTGACAGCCACGAAGGTGCCTGCAGAGCAGGCAGAATGGTATCTAAATCCCCTAAATTAAATCTAGTCTTACCTTTATGCAGAATCATTATTTTCATGGAACTGAATTTAGAATATTTGTAACACTAGTCTGAGAAACAGCCCAAGCATGTATGAATACAACAGGCATTCCTGATGGAAAACAGACAGCAATTATCACATCAATATTTGGGTGCTCATTCCCAGCACTTCATTAGGCTGATTTAACACAGCTTTTATATATATAACATAGACCCCTTGCTCCAGGGGGAGAAACTCTTCTTTCTTGTGCTCCAAGTCTTTATTCCCCTTGCTTAATCAACCAGACCCTGACCTGAAGGCAGAAGTCACAGGTGTGATGTATAAAAAGAGCAGCTCAGCTCCCAACACCTCTTTTAAAGCACAATTCCACCCCATGAATGCATGCATTTAAATTTGTTCCCACTGCTCTGTACAGCAACTACCTGGACTTTTTCTCTGAGAGAAAAGTAAAGTGGATTGGTCTTGCTGTGGTTTAACCCTAGTCAAGGTGGAACATCTGTTTAACAGCACCTCTCCCTTATCATCTAGGAGGTATTGACAACCAGAACAAAGCACAGAAACGTGTCCTCGAGGGATCTGTAAGCATCCTACACTGTTAATTTTAACCACCAAACCAGACATCTCAAAGGGGACTTTTAAAAGCAGTGGGATTTGATGTCCACAAGCCCTTCTGGAAAGCTATCCACAGGCTGAGAGTATCAGCCAGAGAGAAACAGGATACAGCCAGGGAGTACCACCTCAAGTTACCTCCTGCCTGTGCTGAGGGCAGGGGAACAGTGTTAGCACCTGAAAGCAAACCAGCACTGAGCCCTGCCAGCTCACTTCCTAGCTTTCAGGGTTAAGATTTATTTTCTCCTAAAGCACACAAATCTACATTCACATGCCAAAGAAACACAAAGAATGTGAGTTTGTAAACATAAGCAAAATAACCTTTTCTATCTGTTGGTGCAAAGGCAAAATGAACCAAGGTCTTCCAAATACATCTAAAACTGGTTGTGCACTTGAGACCAATGCTAGTAACCCAAATTCTTCCTCCTTTTGCCTTCTGTCTTCCAAATCTTCTCATTTCCACCACTGACATCCTCCAGCCCTTCTCCAAATCACCAGCTTTCCTTTAACAGCACAGTGCCAAAGACCTTTCCCTCCAGATTTTCCTATTACATCCTCTCTTGCAGCAGTCCCCAGCTGTCTTCCCCAGGTTTCCCCTCCAGCTGAAAGCAGAAAGGAGCCTGCACATCCCATGAACAATCCTCACACACAGCAGGCTCTGGGATCCCCGGATTTGGAGGCTTCATTGCCACAACTGTTCCCCTGTCACACGCTGCCTGTCCCTCTCCCGGCTCCGTGGGCAGGAGAAGGGAACTATTGAGCTCAGCTCCTACATCTGTACAGAGCTGCATCTTAACAGCTCACTGCTGGCCTTGTCTGAATCAGAGTGGGGGCTTTTAAAATTCAAGCGACCATTTCAATGAGCTCCTCAGCATTATTTAGCAGCACTGAGGAACACAGTTTGCTACCAAGCTTAGCCTCAGATTAATGGCCAGCATGCCCCACATTTCTAACTTATCACTGCAAATTTACAAGTAGATTCAGTAAGAAGTATAAACACAGAAGTGTAATAGATAAACTACTGCTCCTATTTTAACCTGGAGCAAGTAAAAAATATAAAAGCTGAGGTTATTTTTATTATAGATTCCAGCTGTGGGTTTTGATGTAAAGTGGCAAGTTGGACACTAAAATTCACCCCAGGAACTGAACTGGCAGCTAGAGTTCAGAAACACGTATGGCCACCAAAGGTGCCCCAAAATGTCAAGTTTTTAGAGCAACAGCCCAGAGTTATCTGAAATTCCAGGTCTCTGCCACAGTCAGGGGCCAGTTTTTTCCTAGCAGCAGTAAACCCATCACCCTAAAAAGAACACCTGAACTGACAAAACACAGGAAAAGCTGCCCTAATCAAATAAAGCAATGATAACTTGCAATCAGAATTTCTATGCCATGCCTTACACACTAATACTGAATTAAGAGATTTAGGAAGCTTCCATGGATTGAGCTCTACTCCTGTGTGCACAGGCTGATAGAAACCCTAGAAGAGGAAAGACTTGGCACTGTGTTTTGTGAATTGTTTCAGTTCTGTTATTTCACAAAATGACAGAATATCCTAAGTGGGAAGAGACCCGTAGGGATCATCAATCCAACTCCCGGCCCTGGATTGACACCCCAACAATCCCACTCTGGGCCTGACAGAGTTGTCTAAACCCTCCTGGAGCTCTGGCACCCTTGGGACTGTGATCATTCCCAGGGGAGCCTGGTCAGTGCCCCAACACCCTTCAGCCTTGCATTATTCAGCTGCCTCAGTGCCACCTCACAAACCTTTAAGCAGGGAAGTTTCTTGAGACATCCACAATCAAAATTCTACATACCCAATCCTTAATCCCTTCTTTAACACATTCATTCTCCGCTCTCCCTAGATGTGAACCCTGGACATTTAAATATTCCTTTCACCCTCAACCCAGCCTGGGAGATAGTCTCATTCTCAACTCCCAGTACATTTATTTGCTCTAGAAATCTTTGGTACAGCATTCCAGACACCCACAGCACATGTGCATACCCTTACACACACAGAAGTGCATCCTAAAGTCAGAATTACCTCTTTTAGGAAGGTTACTCACACAAACTAATGACTCCAAGTGCTATTTCCATACCAGCAAGCACGCCTTCCAGGGCATTGTTTTCCATATGGTCCTGCACAAACAAGTTTCTAGAAAGCTCACAGTTAGTCTCACTGCTGTAAAACAGGAGGAAAGGAAAACTACAGACCCATAAATTGCTTATATTAAGTTCATTTATTCTATGGACGGTGCATAATTGTCATAAAACAGTTCACCATGAGTGGCAATTTTCCACAAAGCTGTGACAGTCAATTTATGGAGAGTTCTACTTTTGCATATGAGGAAAAAAAGAGTTAGTGCCAACATCTATAAAATTTGTGACAGTGCTAAGAAAAATTACATCTCCTTAGGCATTTTTCCTTTAAAAAAAGAACCTCTGAACTCACAGTCATACATATCTCACTAAGCAAAAACATGCTGGGAATGCTTAAACTGCTCTCGTGCTGTCTGAAATGTTTCAGCTCTGGGTTTCTGTTTTGTTTTTGTTTAACCTTGACCTGTGAACTCTCAGTGTCAGCCACACCTCCCATAACTCTTCCTGTGGAAAGAGATTTAAAAGTTGAAGCACAGGGATCTGAGCTCTCTCTCCAAACCAAGAGCTGAGCACGAAGCACAAGTCCCACAACAGGTACTTATTCAACACCAATACTCCTGACACCTCTGGGCAATTTTCTAATTAAAGTGAGTAGCTCAGAGGTTCAGAGGCTTCAGTTTCAGCCTGTGAAGTAGTAAATACATTGAAAGTAGAATAATCTCAGGGTTTCCAATCCAAAGGCAGCAGTCCAGCACATGGAAGTTATTGTGCACCAAGTTGCACTGTCCTGTGAAGGCCCTCTCAAAATGATGCAACTTAAAATTCTTCACTTAAGAGGACTGACTGCAAGTATTTCTTTAGATATAGAGCAGGTGGGAATGGCAACATAAAAATAAATTGTAAAGGCATCCTCAAAACTGACATTAAAAACTGTCCTACTACTCTAGGCAAAGACAGCACTATGCTGCTGCAACTACTACTATCTGTGAGGTTAAATACATGTAACTATCAAAAAGAGGATTTAACTTGTAGGTTCTGAGGATAACAGGCCAATTTTATACTGTAAACAAGTCTCTGGGTCTTGTCCAACAGGATAAACCCTCACAAAACACAGACACGCACCCTCAGAGCCTGGATTCAGCTAAACCAGCTTCTTTCCTCTATCTAATTTTAAAAAACAGAGTGAAGTGTTATAAACCAGAAGGCAAACTAGAAAACTGCTGTGAGAGAATCAATTCTCATTGTGACTCATACTGTTAGAAGAGCCCCAAAACAGTCTTACAGAAAGAATACTAATTACTTGCATAAACAGTGTAGAAAATGGAGAAAAACCAGGAAAATCCCCGATACAGGAAAATTTGTCCAGCAGCATTTTGAGTCCGAGTCCTGTTTTAAGATGACTTTTTAAATTTCTTCTGCAAGTCTTACGAAGTGCAAAAACAAACTACAGTTCTCCTTTTTCCTACATATCACTTGGCTTTTATCCTATCATCAATGGACAAGAGAATCCAGTTTGGCTTCTGTATCTCATTACCTCCATCTACTGGCAAGAGCTGCTCCTGGTTTATAAACCCCCTCCAGACCCAGTTCACACTTAATTTTTTTTTTAAAAAAACCCTCATTTCAGAAATACTGATAATTAAGTGAGTGAGAAAGAAGAACACAAATCATTCAATTCCAAAACACCTGAAGGTACAGGCCAACTTACAGACCTCACACCACTTTTTTTCTGATGTCTAGAATTTAGTCCTCCCTACCCGTGTATGAAATTTATCTTTGGGTTGAAAATCAACAGCAGGAGCCACAGCCTAAGAGTCCATTTAAAGTATTAATGTGATTTCCCATTAAACTTCACAGCCTTTACTGGTAACACATTAGATATAAAATCAGAAAATCCTGCAGTGGTTTGGGTTGGAAGGGACCTCAAAGCCCAACTCATTCCACCGCTGCCATGGGTAGGGACACCTTCCACTGTCCCAGGCTGCTCCAAGCCCTGTCCAACCTGGCCTTGGACACTTCTAGGGGTGGAGCAGAAGAGCACCAGAAGCACTAACAGCTCCTATTTAAAAGAATTCCTGGACTAGCACAAACATCCCAAGGCAATCACATTCCCAGCCTCTATTCCTACACAAAGTCATAGTTCTTCTGCAAACCAGTTCTTCAAAACAAGTTAACAACAAAATAAATAAACACTACAATTCAGGCACATCGAAACATTTTTAACACTAATGAAGGCTGGTGGTCTCTACAATCTTGCTTCCCCTACATTAACCCTTATTAAGTGGGATACTCTAATGTGCCTGAAAATTTATCTTATATTCAGCTGCTCTTTGTAAAGTATTAGATTATTTTAAGTTATCAAAACTATTTGTTCTAATGCAGAATAAAATGCATGCTTTCCTTTTTCCCAGACCTTTTTATGTTATTTGTGGTACTGCTCCTCATCCCCAACTCTCATAGTTGTCAGCAACCAGAAGAGGGCAACATTTTAAATAGTATGTAAAACCACTACCAATTCCATCAGCTGCAGAGCCCTGGGACAAGTTTAGTCTCACCAAAACCCACCAGGTTGTCTCAAAGCTCCTCACTTATCACGTAACAAGGAAAATTTCCATTTCCTCTTTCTATAGATCCAAGAACTCCACTGAGTGATTTGATCAGAAGATTTCTGTAAGCAGTGAATTAAGTACTTTCCCATCAGCACTGCAGTATCATGATGCTTCAGCCCAAGCAAAACTGTTCTGTGGCTACACTACTGTTAACTTGCATTATTTTATGCAGTCAATTTAAAAATGAGATCTTTTCTGAAATATTTCATACTCTTTATTTACCACACTGTGTTCCTAAAATACACTCAAGTTTGCACAACTCATTTTTTCATGCAACTTGCTTAACTTTCACAATAAAGTCAAAATGATGATCCACTTAAGGGAAATGCAAAACCTTTTCATCTCATGATAAACAATACAGATTCACTTGTTCTTTGAAATTCAGTGAGCAAAACATGCTCTGATCCATCCAAGACAGTGCTGCTCACTGATCCACAAGCAGAGCCACAAAATTCTCTAAGAGACTGCTGCTATGGTGATGCCTCTTCAAGAGTGAGCAACATCCACAAAAACACTGTGCAGAAACATGGCAAAAAAACTCCTTTAGGTTTTAAATAGTAAATTTCAATTTGGGGAGTGAGAGAGAAATGTTACCATGGAAAAATGGTTTCAATAAATAATCTGAATGCCCCTGATCAAAGTTAAATCTGGGATTCACCCATGGGGTTTGTTTTTTCCTTACATGGATAGCACCAGGCTGCATTAATTTAATCTTTAAAAACCGTACAGTTGCTAAACCTGATTTTTAGCTGTTCCTCAATGCCTGCCATAGTTTACATCTGAGAATGAACCTGTGTCTATGAGTTTGTTCATATTGTGCTTGAAAAAACCTGCTCTACCTTTATCTGGTCCAGGTTGGTGCTGGCTGTGAGGAACCAGCACCTGAAGGCATCCAGGACTAATCCCTGTCTGACAACAGAATATTCTCAACTTGGATTGATTTGGGTGTAAGGACTCCACATATCAGAATCCTTCAAGGTTTTAGCCCAGTTTCCATAAGAACTAAGTACTTACCATTTAAGTCAGGCTTGATGTAATTTAAATTCCCCATGGTTTTACAGATGTGTTGAGTTTTAAAATACAATAAAATATTTTCAAGCTATGACATAAAGAAATTTTAAAACAACCAAATTTCACTTCATAATTAAGCTTCATTAATGGAAAAAAAGTCAAAATTTCATAACAGGAAAGTAAGCAAAAAAAGGAGTAAAAATTAGTCCCAGCAGAAGTGGAAAGGCCACACTGATTTAATAATATTAGTTTAAATATCCAGTCCCAGGCTGATCTATCCCCAGTAATCTAGGAGGAAAAGGAACCCAAACTGCCCTTTTGTACTAAGTCCTGAATACCAAGAGTCTGGGACAAGCAATGTCACATTTTTTTCCAGTATGTCCAGATAAACTGGCCCTTAAGGCTGACTAATTAGGCAGCTGTTTAAGGGAATGAAAGATCATCAACCAGAAAGCTCCTGCGCCAAGATCAAACAGCTCTGTTTAGTGTGTCTATGATCCCTCTCAGATGTTTTCCCAGAACTGCAATTCCTGTGCAGAAGCTGCTTTAAGCAAAATATTCACAGAGACTTAAAATTTAGAAGGCAGGACAAGTGTTTGTTAATAAAAAAGCTTTTGTCTTATTGTGAAAAAAAATTAAGTATGTCATTAATTCTGCAGTCACATATTTCACGAAAACAGAGTACACACTACCCTCATCCTTCTTCAGGCTTCTCTTGCACTCATCCCTGTCAATAATCAAATAACCAGATCTAGAAATACTGAGTCAGACATCAATATTGATAGAAGCATTTTATTAAGTTGAAAATCGTTTTGTATTCTTACTCCTCTGCAAGGATTGTATGCTGTTTTTCATTTATCCATCTACTCAAGTACCAACTTTGCCATTTTCTAAAAAAAACACTCTTTTAACATGCTGTAAGCTCATGATCATAATTCAGACTGTTTCATCCCCTATGCACAGCACATATTTATGCTGTTTCCCTTTTGCATATTATACCTCCTACTCCAACTAGAGAAAACTGACTACATTTAAAACAGAATATTGTATTTCCCATCAAGTCAAGACCTGCAAGGCCTAGAGCCAGTATTAAAGGTTTATGGGATTCCAAACCCCTGGATACTCATTAGCAAATGAGTCTTCAATACCAGGTTCCTGGAAGAAGATTTTAGCCTCACTTGCCAGTAATCTTTGGAATTTCACTGACTGACATCACAGCAAACTCTCACCTCAACATCCTTCTGCTTCCAAAAGTCACCTGAATTACAGGCATTTGAATCCCTCATGTACCAACCAATTCTGCTTTTATTAACATACCAATTATGAATGTTAATTACTTTGCCATATCCCAGTTTATAGATGGTCATAGCTGAGGATACGTGAATGGCAAAACTCCACAAAATCAACTGAAAATAAACACAGAATAAGCCCAAGTGTTCCCTTTTATTAGAAGAGGTCCTGATGGAGGCAGTAGTAAATACTTTTTAGGCAAAGCTACTCAAACTAACAGAATGCTTCCTCATGGAAGAGAGGATTCACGATGGGAAGCAATATTTCACCTTAAGAGATCATGAGCAACAGCTACATTTTCTCCTCTGCACAGCTACAACCCACTGATCAAGAATGATCTGCCCACAGCACAGTATTTATCTTGCTACTCTGTTCTCCAATAGATACATAAATATAGTCACATAAATATTGTCTGGTTAAAAAAAAGTATCCATCAATCCAACAATTACTTTCCAATATTTTAAGAATATTAGGAATATTGCTAATCACAGTAAAAACAATCTTGCTCTGTCCTTAGTGTAATGTTTCATCTCTATTCACACAAACAGTGAGAATTTATATTTATTTTTACAGATTAGGCACGCTTATTAAAAACACCTTGATGAACTGAAGGTTCTTTCTCTGATTACAGAGCCTCTCCTCTTTCTTTAGTTCAATGCACAGTTCTCAGCATCTGAGCACTTTCAATTAATCACTGAAGTCCCTGCAAAAGTGAAATGCTCCATTTATTCTGCATAGCCTGGGCCTTCAGAAACTTACCCAAATTTCTCTTTTCCATTTCCAGAGTCAGAATGCTTTTAGCAGCTTGACAATATTGCTTTGGTATATTATAACAAGACTTCATAAGAGCCTCAATTCATTTATAACTGCTACTTACAGAGTCTCAGACTGGTTTGGGTTAGAAGGGACCTTAAAGTTCATCCAGTTCCACCTCCTTCCACTACCCCAGGTTGCTCCAAGCCCCATCCACTCTAGCCTGGAACACTTCCAGGGGTGGGGCAGCTACAATTTACCACCTCATGTTAAGTCTGCCTCTGTTAAATCCTGGCTTGAAAAGGACTTATCACCTATATATGAGAGGACAATTTTTTAAAATCCAACTCTAAAATATTTCTGTTCCTAGCACCTAAAATTCTGAAAGTTAAGAGAATTCCCTGCTATCCATTTTTCAAACCATGTGGTTGGACTTGGTCACCACCAGGATCTCCAGGATGCAAGATCCAAGCAGGCACTGAGGCTGCCAAGAGTTCAATTGACAAGAGGCTGAGCATCAGGAAAATCCTACAGAGCCCCATATCTCATTTTTTTTTATTAAAGCTGACACTGGATCATATTCGTTGCGGTTCCAAATACAGTAAATACCACCAGCATGTATTTATGTTTACCAAGAGTCCAATTTTTTGTGTGTTATTAACATTATACAATTAACATGTTCTTTTGACAGGCACCAAGCTCAGATGAGTTCATATTGGGCAGAAGTTAATTAGTGTTTCATTCCAAAAAAAAAAAAAAAAATAGAACAGTTTGGGGGTTGGATTTATGTAGCAGTAGCAGGTTTTTTGCTGCTGTTGCTGCTACTGTATTGGGGGTTTTTAAGAGGTTTCCATGTGTTTGTCTTCCTAAAGAGACAGCTTGAAGCAAAGTCATGAATTCTGTGTATTATCAGACAAGGAGCACTGCTCATTATTACCACCTTAGCATTTACTTGTACCTGTTGCTCCTGGGATAACAATAATATGGCCGAGGCCTACAACATATCTGAACTCCCCAAAAAAGGCATTTCTTAATGTGGATACTCCCTAAAGGAAAAAAAAAACCTGAAGTTAAGATCCTTAAAAGCACAGACATAAATTTTTGTGTTATGCATATGAAGTTTATTCATCATTAATGACAAACTTTCTGTCACATCACATTTTCATTATTATCCCCTAATTTAACATTCAAATACATTTGCAGACATTAACTGAGTCTTAACTAATGCCACTATATTTTCAGACGTTCTCCACAGAAAATAGTTCTGAAAGGAAGCTCAAATTAATGCCACTGCAGGATTGTCTCTAGATGGGACACTCAGTGTTCTGGTCTGCTTGACAAGGTGGTGACTGGACAAAGGCTGAACTTGATCCTGGAGGTCTTTTCCAACCTTACTGATTCCACATTCAGGAACAGTGAAACCGCAGCACTCTGAGTTCTGCCAGCCAAAAGTTTCATTTTGCCATTTTTTAACTACCTGAAGACAAAATATAAGGATACTAAAGTAACTCTGAGCTGCTTACAGCACACAAGTAACATCAGACACTTGAACTCTTCAGTGCAAATATTGAAACTCTGCTACAAACAATTATTTAATTATTTTTATTTAACCTGCTAAACCCTCTCAAACTCCCACCCCCCTAAAAAAATACATTTCCCAGATTGTGATATACTCCATGTGTTAGTTTTGGCTCTACCAGGGGAAGAACCTGCTACCATTACAGTTGTGCCATGAATTCATACACTTAAGATTTCAAGGATTTCTTTTAGAATGGGTGTCTTAAGCCTGGGGAAAAGAAGGCTCCAGGGAGAGCTCAGAGTCCCCTCCACAGCCTAAAGGGCTCCGGGAGAGCTGGAGAGGGGCTGGGGACAAGGCATGGAGAGACAGGACACAGGGAATGGCTCCCGCTGCCAGAGGGCAGGGATGGATGGGATATTGGGCAGGAATTGTTCTCTGGGAGGGTGGGCAGGCCCTGGCACAGGGTGCCCAGAGCAGCTGTGGCTGTCCCTGGATCCCTGGAAGTGTCCAAGGCCAGGCTGGACACTGGGGCTTGGAGCAGCCTGGGACAGTGGGAGGTGTCCCTGCCATGGCAGGGCTTAACCAGATGATGTTCAAAGGCCCCTTCCACCCCAACCACTGAAGAACTCTGCAATGATTCCATCAATGCCTTTACCTGAACCACTCCAGTAACACTCAACTGACATTTCCAAACCTTGGCCTGATGTGAAACAACTAATTTTCAATCTTCTCCATAACAGACCATGGTTAAGCACTGGAAAACTGACTTCAGCAGCAGCATTCAGGCTAGAAAGATTCTGGGTAGTCTAAAATTGTGAATATCACAATCATGTGAAATGCCAAAACTGCACATTCCCCACAACTAAAACTTGACTCCATCTTGTGGCTACAGTATACACAAGATACCTCTAAGAAGGGTTTGAAAAGAAGTAAACCACTTTGAGAAGTAGGGGTTTTACTATGTAAACTTCTTATTTTTCTCACTTAGGCAAAAAAAAAAAAATCTGGGAATAAGCAGTTCTTTTCAAACATTTCAGAAATAGCATATCTTTTCCTTTAACCAAACATTATCACGAAAAATGCCTTCAGGGGGCTTCTATGGAAGTTTTCAATGCGAGGAGGAGAAATCAAATGCCACTGAGGCTTCCTTTGCCAGAAAGTAAGGAAAGCCAAGGGAAGCACATCACTGAGGAGGATTACAGGCCCCACAGACTGACAGAGTTCAGGTTTCCATGACTTTCTCAAACTGAAAGCATCACGTTTTGAAGCCTGTTACATTCTGCATTCATTTTGTTGCATCTACCTGCACTGCGCTTTCTCTATACACAAGTCATGCTGAGCTGCTACTAAGGGTTTTGCTGAACCCTCACAATATCTTCTTTGCAATAAGGATCCTAACAGCAGCAGGCAGTGAAGCCCTGCCTGACCAAAGCACTCAGTCCAGGCACCAGCTGAAGCAGCATCCAGGGCAAGTAATTCAGTTTCAGATCCCTAAAAATTACCTATTGGTGGAAAGCTCACAAACACAAGAAGAAAACACTACTAAGTCTGCAGCAGAAGATTTGGTGTCTCAACAGGAAGATAAGGAATCTGACTTATCTCCATCATGCTTTCACTGAAGCAGCCTCACAGAAATAGAACAGGTCATGAATTTTCTGTAAGGAGAATTGTAGAAGCCCATCAAATATTAAAAAGCACTGCAGATGTCTGCAGTCCTTTCTAAAAGCTTTTTTCAGATGAGCAAAGAGGACACATTAATTAATTAAATTAACTGTTTCCAAACATTCCCCTTGTATAGATCATTACCTTGCTTCAGATGTTTTTAATAGAATATTTGTCTGTTCCTCCAGGGTTTTCATTCCAGAGCTTCTCTCTAACTGTAACAATGTTTGTGTATCCAGGCTTTCAGAAGACCTCACAGAACCTTAGTGCTTTCTGTACAACCTAAAGCAGTAGTTACATATCACCGATTTTCAGAAAGCCTCTAGTATCAGCCACATCTCCAGGTTACCACTTGCACAAGCAAAAACCTTAAGTACAAATACAAAATTACCTGCAATGCAAAAAGAGCCTCTTGAAAATTATCAGGATTGCATATGAATCACTTCAGCTTATTGAATTACTGCATCTACCTTACAATCCACTTAATGGGCTTTCTTAAATTAAATTTGTCTCCGCCAAACACATCTCCCTGTCACATGACACAAGCTGAATACCTACAGAGAGGACTGAATTTTCATCAGCTCCAGCTGCAAGGTACCGCCTGAGTAATTCTGGCAAGATCAACTTGTTTGTGTTCCAAGCAATTCTTCATTAGTGCATTACTTAAAAATCAGTGATAAGACACCTGTTTCTAAATAGGAAACCTGCTCAAAGGCATTATTCCAGAACAGAAACTGGACTGAAGGCTGAAAAACATCATACCTATACTCGAAATGCCATCTTCTTCCAGTTCCTTTGCAGCAAATAACATCCTTTCCAAAGAAGCAAGTTGCAGAAATCAGCTTGTGCACTGCTTAGATGCAGCTGTGCTGATTCAAACACATCACCAAGGCTTCGGTCCGAGAAGGATGAAGCTCTCTGAGGTGCCAACTTCAGCCACCCGGAGCTACCCAGCTCCTTTTACATCATCCCAGGCAATAATTTCCTCCTCTTACATAAGAGGCAGAGCTCCCAGGTGCCCCCGTTTCCAGCACAGTGCTGGCACTGCAGGAAGAGGCTGTGGTTGCCCAGGGCCCAGGCTCAGCTCTCCCATGCACTGACCTAAGAGGCAGCAAATCAACACTTTGGGATCACTGCTCCTCAGGGGTTCTAAAAATAGCATATCAGCTGCTATCAGAGCCCATGTGCTGATACCCAGCACTGACCAAGCATTACATCTAAGACCTCTACTTCCTTAATGCCACAGCCAGACAGATTTATATTGCACTCTGCATCTGACAGTGAAACACTGCCCCGCATCCATGTAGTTCTTAGCCTGATGACCAGGGTAGAAAAACCCAAACAAATCTTTTTTTTAGCATAACCTTGCATGCCAGCTGTGGCTACTTCGGGCTTTAGATGCTGCCAAGTGGAGACCCTGCTCAGATTTTCCCAGCACAAGTGCAAAAGACCATTCTCAATGCACAGACTTCACATATAACTGGCACTGACAACTGGCACTGACATTCTTGGATCCGGCAACATGAATTTATTATGAATTGAAGCAGCTCTCAATTAATCAGATTAGCACCCCAGCTGCGAATACATACACTCCAGAACCTTATTCTTGGACTGTGACCTCCTGTTATCTCATACTATCATAGAAATTTAATCTGTCAAACAATCCAGTACAAAGTCCATGCAATTACATCCGCTTAAGTACAAATCCACACTTGGCAATAAGCCCTCAAAAGATACATCTTGTTCATGTGTCAGTCAAGTTTCCTTCAAGTAATATCAGCCTCTTTCTTACTGGAAACAGGTACTGGTATCTGCAAAGCCTCAAATTTCCAAAGCACTGAAGGGTGCTCGCTATGGATCAGCCAGTCTATACTCACTGCAGCAGGGATACTTCATTAACATTCACCACTAACTGGTCTGGCTATAAAATGCAGATCAAGCTGAATCTTGTCATGATCCACAAGTTTCTCCACTTGTACCACCTGTACCTTCCTTGACAGCGAGAACTTGATCACTGCACCTTTCATCTTTCTGGTTTTAACAAATGCACACCTCAGCTGGTTTAGAGCAGAACAGAGGGGATCAGAAACACCATCTGCAACACATTGGAGAGGCACAATACAACCTGAAGGAGAAACCACATTCTCTTATTTCTTACAAAAATCCCTTGTGGAGGTCCCTTCTTTTATTCCTTTCTCCCTTTATTCTCAGAATGGTGCTCATGCAGATTTTAGTCAAATGATGTGTATGCATTGTACCTTAACTTGTTCCATAATAAGCAGCAAGGAAGTAAAATTGGACCTCGGTTATTTACAATAGCACATAGGCTATAAGATACCCTAACTGTTTAAGTAAAAAAGAAATTAATAAAAGTATCCCACAGAACTTTGCCTTGTCTATTCACTCCTCAGATTACAAATACCTCACAGATTCTTTTCAATGTAACCAACTTTATTCAATAGAACTCTGATTGTAATCTCCATTTACAGTATTTTTTAAAAATATACAAGCCAATGAATACTCTCGTTACCCTCCATCCTTTGTACAAAACACCCATAATAGCTTTACATTTGTTAAATTAAATTAGATGAAACTTAATACAACAACTTACAGAGAAAAGTGAGTTCAATCAGTTCTTCAGTCTTGTTCCTCTGTTCAGTTTATATTTATCCAGGTGTAATTGGCTCAAGTCTGCCTTTTTAGTTTCTGTAGTATAAGAGCCATGTAAGGAGATTTATTGACTCAAAGCTACTACTTATTTCTAGCAGAAAACGTGTTCAAAATGCTGTCTTTTCTATTTACTCTTCAATTATCACCATTTGGTTAATTTTGAACCCTTTAGCAAGTGTTACATCATGAGAGTTGCTTAATGTCTTTAAAGCAGTCATGATCAACCACATAAGATTTTATTCAGTTTTATAATTATAGATAATTATCTAGGACTAAACACTCTACACACTTTTCCAGTTACATTTGTTACTTCAGTAAACCTTCCCAAGTAGGAGGTAGTGATTTCCTCTAGCATTGTTTATGAGTTTTCTGTTAAGGAAGTTGATTCCTCCTAGCTGGAATTATTTTATAGCAGATTGTCAGAACATTAACGCATCAGCCAACCCAATGGAATTTATTCCTCACCATTCTTTAAAAGGCTTTCCCATTATTATAATCTGATAAATGTAATTCAGCCATTACACAGCACTGTTTATTCAATGCTTTGGCTGTTTGCTGCCATTTGTTGATGCAGCAGAGGGCTGGTTTAAGCTACAGGAAAACACCTGCCGGGCTAATCCTTGAGCAACAACTTCAGCTCTTGCACACACCCCCGTGCTCACAGCAAAGTTTGCTTTTCCATTTTCCATACACAAGATGTGACAAAAAAATGGAATGGTTTGGGCTGGAGGGGACATTAAAGTTCACCTTGTTCCACCCCCTGCCATGGGCAGGGACACCTTCCACTATCCCAGGGTGCTCCAAGCCCCATCCAGCCTGGCCTTGGACACTTCCAGGGATCCAGGAGCAGCCACAGCTTCCCTGGGCACCCCATGCCAGGGCCTCCCCACCTTCACAGGGAACAATTCTGCTATTTCAAGTCTTAAATTATCTTGCTTCTACACATAGGCTGCACTCCTGCTACTCAACACAGAGTACCAGAGAACAGGCAGCTGCACTTGGCTGCTTTAGCCCCAGAGGTCAGGCAGAACTAAACCACCGGCTTGTTTGGAGATCTGCTATCAAGTGCATTTGTAGCCACCACTATATCCAACCAGCACTTCCCACAGATGCCTTGGATGCGTGGCAAACCACAGAATGCACACTCATGAACTGAGCAGCTTATCCTCAAAATACTGCAGGCTTTCAGAGTGACCTAAATCAATTCAACTACATGGGCAAAAATGAGCCCTTAGCAGCAGCAAGTCTTGGGCAAATGGTCAGCACAACCCATTCTGTGTATTTATCTTTTTATTACAAAGCTCCAATCTGATCTTTTAAAAGCTTCCAATATCCTACTTAACAGGAGTGGCAAACAAATACTTCTTTGTGTGTTATTCCAAAATGGTATGATTTTGCTTTACATTTTACATACTTCATTTTGTATCTATACATATTATAGATCCTTTTTTCACCATCCTGGCTTACACTTCACATCAATATTTCAACAGTTTTCATCGTCAGCCATTGTTATGCTAAAACCTAGGTGTTACCAGAGCTCTATTTCTAAAGTTGTCTGCCAGAGCATGTCTCACTCAAAGAAGCCTGTCAAAGAAATTAGCCCCCAACATGAACAAAGAGACATTGAAAAAGTAGTTGATGTCATTTTATTTTTTTCAATATGAGAACAAGTCAGTGAGACAGAACTAGATTATTATGAAACATAGTAAATTAAGCAACTGGCTTACAGAAATTCAAAATTAAAGAATCTGCCAGAAAAATTATTTTGAAATTAATTATTTTATTTAATTGATCCATATTACATTTGGTGCAGCCAACTCAAAGCCCACACCCCATAATCCTTACCTTATCATAACATCGGGAATTCCCCTGTAGAGTTCATTTATGGAGAAGACATGGGATTAATTTCATGGTATCTTTATTTTGGAATGACAAATTTGCCAATTAAAAAAAAAAAAAAAAGAAAAGACATGAAACAGACAAGAATTCAAGGAAAGCCTGAATTCAACCAGTTTGATTTAAGGTAAGCTGAGCTTGAGCTGAACTCACTCCTCACTGGAATCTACTCTAAAGAACAGCAGTTCCTGGTAGTTTAAGATGTTTTTTGCATTTCCTCCTCAGACATCAACTCATGCTAATCATCACCTTTTCCATTAGCATAGAGCTGGAGAACGCTCTGGGAACATCTGCCTTCAATAATTCATCTCTCACACGAATAAACTCCTGAGCCAGTTGCTGCAAATGCACCTCACTTCTCCCCTTCCATAGAAACCCTAATTACTTCTCTGAGAGTGTTTATTAGCTTGGACAGCCGCCCATCTCCCTTTTCAGTTCTCTGCTTATCATCTGCCCTTCCATGCAAGTAAACACTCATAAAAGCCTGAAACCTCCTAAAGATCTTCTGGAGAACCACAGCCCATCTCCATCATTAGCTGTTAGCACAAAGGAGGCATCTTACAAGGATCCTCATTAGAAGGTTCTTCCAAGAAGCAGAGGGTAATCATTAAGGCAGTGGCACTCAGTTATTTAACACTTACACTCTTTTTTCCTTCCTGCCTGGGATTCTCCCTGTTCCATCACATGGGTAGCAAGTTGGGGTCCCTTCACTTGTTTTCATTTCAGCCACTGCCTGAATTTCAGATCAAATATCAAACAGCTGATCTGTAAACCAATAAGTAAAGTTATTTTTCAAACAAATGTCTTTAACATCACCAATTCAATATTTCTAACAAAGCAAAGGGTAAAAAGCTCTTATAGCTGAGTCTTAAAGCAAGCAAAGAAATCAAATTCATACTGATCTTTTAACATGCACGTGTACTCTTTTTTCAGTTATAAGCATGAGCTGAAAACACTAATTCAGAGTTGAGTATCAGCCCCTTGGCTTGGTTTTTATACTGTATTTACCGCTGTTTAAAAAGAAGTATCTGAGATCCTTCCATAGCAATTGTCACTGCTCCTAGGCAAAGGTTTAATAATTATTAGCCTATTAGCCTGATTCTGTCATTTCTAAAAAGAAAAAAAAAACAAACAACAACAATCAAACAAACCCAGCCAAGCCCCAATGCATTACAGTAGTACCAGACTCCCTTGGTATTTTGACTTTCTGTATTTCACTTCAGTTGCTCAAAGTCGATATAAATTCTTTTCACTGCACAGTGACTAGGCCAAAGTCAAAATGCTTTTCTCCCAGTTCAGCCTCAATAGACTGATCTTCATCTCTTTCCCAGAACTCTAAGTCATTTTCATAACTGCTCAAAGAATGCAATAAGATCCAATTTCTTTGCAATATTTATTATTGCAGTTATCATCTTGCAACAGTTACAGCCAAGTAAGCATCTGACCAAGTCCTAAAAAGTACCATTGTTTTGCTTAAAATCTTCTCCAAGTGCCTCAGTCCCAATCGATCTGAGACATGACTCAAGAGTGAAGGAATTCTGCAGATCCACAAAACCCAGTGAAATAAAAGTTAGCTCTAAGTAGCAGCCAGCAGCCAAGGAAAATCGATTGCTGCCCCTGATCAGCACACAGATCACAGCTCTGCTTTCTGAACAAACTGAAGGTGTCCAACTCAGCTGTGGTCTGAAACAACAAAGACTGGGGACCTCTGCAGTGCTACAGCTCAGCCAGAAAATAAACAACTCTTACTGCTCAATGCTCAGTCCTGTCCATCTGGCTAAGCTCACAAACAAACCAAAACGAGCCACACTTCCAGTGCCAAATGAAATATTTCCACCAGAAAACACTTCCTGTTGACAAACAAAGCATCAGCCCTACTCACTTGCTATGTATTTCTAGGAAATAAAATAGTATTTTGCAGCTTTGTTTGTAAAGATAATCACTGCAAGCGATTACAGGATCAAGCACTTGATCAGATTTAAGCGTTCAATACAAACACCAGGTGATAATCCTGTGTTGTCCTAGACAGAGAGGAATAAAATCCAGTTCTGAATGGTGAGTGTTTCTTTCTAGGTAACTCAAGGAAAAAGTCACCTTGAATTATATGACAAATAATTAAAATCAAAGGCAGTGGCCCTGAGGAGCAGCAACCAGCCCTCTGCTCCTCCAGATCACATTCAAACCAGGAGAAACATTGCTACTTTAGCTCCTGCCATTAGGAAAAGGAAGTCTTTTCCAAAGCTTTTATTCCTCTGAGTCTAGGACAACGGGGGATTATCACCAGGTGCTGGCAAATACTCCCCCCACAAAGCTGTGAGGTTCTTCAACTGCAGTAACACAGGCAATGGCTGTTTTCAGCCAGGTTTCACACTAACAGTGCCAGAAGCCAAGCAAAAATTATTCACAATTATTTTCAGACATAAAGCAGTAGCAACCTGCTATATAATTCTTCACTCTGGTTCATGACAAATGAAAGTTCTAATTCTCTTCGGCAAACAGTGAATTATTGCAAACTGAAATAAGCTTTCAGTGAAGTGGTTCAACTTCCAGGACAAATGCACTTGGTAGATAACTTCCTGCTACATTTTCATCTGGATGCAACACAGAGGTCACTTCCAACATGCTGACCCTTGTCCCACAGGATTAGGACTTGCATTTAATACACATTCTGGCACAGCTACAGTGCCTGAAGTTTGCACAGCCTGGACAATTGAAACTGAACAGAAACCCCAGGGCTAATCAGTTGAGAACTCCTAAGCTTCAACCACGATGGAATTCAACACAAAACTGCTGCATAGTACTGTGGTTTCTTACACATCTTCCAGGGAGTGAAAAGTCCCTTTATTTTCAGTGTTATTAGGTATGTAGCTACTAGTGGCATTTCAAGAACCCATGATCTAAAATTAGCAGAAGCTGCTAGCAGCACACATTTTAAAAAGGCCAACGCTCCTAGCAGTAAGTCAAAATGTGTTTTCATTAAACCTCACCCAGAAATTAAGATCCAAGTCATCTGGAAGGTGCTTCAGCTTAATGGGGATGAGCATTCTTTACTGAACTGCTGAGGTGTCTAACAATACTCATCAGTAAAGATTCACTGACTGACAAAGGTACCCCTTCAGTGAGATCTCCCTGCCACTGTCAAAGCACTAGATGTGGTGCTTTACTCACACCTCCAAGCCATTTTTCCATCTCCAGGCAAAAAATAGCAATATAAAATAGAAAATATGAATTAACAACTTGAAATCTGTTTTTAAACCAGTCTTCCTCAAAAAGAAGTTATACAGCTTAACTAAAGCTATCTAGCAAAAATTCAATAACACTGTATCAATGGATTTGTCTCAGATGCCTCTCACTCCCCAAAGGACACCAACTTTGTAAGAGAAAACTTCCTCTTGTTTGCATACTCTGAATATTCAAGAGTATCACATTAGAAATCAGATTGCCTTGGATTTGGCAACACTTCAAAATTTGCAACTCTATCATTGCAACATGATAGATTTTTCTGCAAGTTTAAATTTTAGAATTTAACAGTATTAATATGAGAACCACGGGTTTTAGGAAAGCTACAGCGAGAACAAGTTGATGGAAAGAAACTGCACAGAAATGCAGCACAGTATTTGTAGCAGACATATTAGTTAGACCATTTATCTCCACTGAGCACTTCTACAATTAAAAAAACAATTCTCAACACATGATCTGAAACCCTGAGTATTTAGAAAATAAGGTAAATTAAATTTCCAACACTCCTAGCTTTACTGCAAGTACAACATCACAGAAAACTCATTGATTTACCCTGAAATTCTGTAAACTGCATTCTGCTCACAAGCACTTAATGCTTCAAGTTCCTAGTCCCTGGTACCATACCTTAAAAATAAAAGGTGAAAATTATATGGGTGATTGTTCAGCAATGCAGAGAATCTTTCACTAAAGCTCTGTAACTTGTGATGCAAATTTAATGCGTTCTAAAAACCTGAAGACATAAACCCTGTGTTTTTCACAGAAACACAAGATGACATTTCTGAAAAGCTGAAGATGTATGTTCTGAGCAGGGTTGCTGCTCTGACTGGGCTCTATCTGCACTCATCCATTATCAGACTACTCAAACACCTCAGTATCAGGTTAGCCAGGGAAAAGGAAGCATTAGGACAACATGAGAAGGCTGATCTATGCTGGCCTGTTAGCTTATTTTTTCAACTAAATTTCCTGATAAATGTTTCCATGGAAAGTTTATATTGGCAGAATTCTCATCTCTACAGCACTCCATGGTTTCCCAGACTCACTGACAGAGAGAATCAGCTACAGAGCCCTCTGATTTTATAGTGCAGACAGACAAGGAAGAGGGACTGACTCAAATGCACTTGGGACTCAAGCACCCATGAACTTGCAGATAAATAATCCTTTTCCACAAAATGCAAGCTACCCAATGCAAAACTTAATTGTGTGTTTTGGCCAACAGTTGTTTTTCTAAGTGCGGCAATTGTTTAAACATTAAGGGATTACCACGGTCACCCATTAATTACAAAATTACTCAGATTATACCATACAAAGTAGCCATCACTGAGCAGCATTAGCATAGGACAACTACTTGACTTCAGGAACACGCTCCTGACCTCGCTCAAGCCTAGGACACAGTGCCGATTTTCCAAGTTAGAGAAATTCTTTGTTCTCCACTACAGTGGGTGTTGAGATTGTAACAAATTGCCTTTCACTCACAAGTCTAACAGACAACCTGACCATCCTCCAAAAAAGAACAACTCTGCATAGTCAAGGTTAATCAAACATTTGGAATGAAGACCAGATTTCCTGTCCCTAATATGGTTTGGGAGGAAGGACCTTCTCTCCCAGAGAAACAGGTTCAAGTTTGTTAGGGCCTGGAAGTTATTTTACAGCCCACTGAGGTGTTCAACAGCAAGAGTTTCTGTGCAGCATCCTACCCTGCTTCTGCTCCTTGAGAAAAAGCACATTTAGGTGTAAGACAGCAATTCACCAAACAGAGCCAAGAGCCCTCCACCAGCCTATCAGCTCTGCAGCAGCAAATTAAATATCACAGGCTCACCCACTCTTAAACTACACTCTCAGAAGGCCGTGAAGATCTGCATGTGTTTTTAGCAAGCTTGTATTCTGCTGCTCAACTATACCCCAAGTCTTGCACATTTCTAGTATTATTTTCAGTTAAATCCAACCTGGGAATCAAGCAGCACATCACCTCATTTTGAATTCAAGTTGAATGGAGGTTGTAGTAATTCTAAGGCACAAAGGAGCAGAGTAATATAATCCTCAGGTTACAGACTTTGCTTACCTGACTAGCTTAAAGAGGCTTTACTCTGTGGGGGTTTAAAAAGAATTAAAATAAAAGCTTAATTCCCCCCCAAAAAATCATTCTCAGCATCTTTATTTATTATTAATCAGGTCTCATCTGCTCAATACATCATTTCCATAAGATTAGCAATCAGCCACATGTTACAAGAAAACAACAAATTCTGTGTCCTTTTCTCAACATAAAGCTTCCACCTCCTCAAGAGTAAACAAAGAGCAGAAGCTAAAATAGTTTTAATGCAAGAAGTCAGCCCCTGGACGAAAAACATGTTACAGAAAACAGAACTGATTTTCAATCTCCGTTATTTTCATCTTGTATCACAATTTGTCATTAGCTCTTATCTATTCCCCATCACCTCCCACGTGAATGCAACATAAATACAAGTAATTTGATTTGTTCTTTTAAAGGAATTCATACACTGGGTTTTATTTTAAACAGGTAAAGTTAACCACAAATTCATACATTTGCTGACAAGTGGATGCAAGATGCAAATTAAACAAGTGCCAAGCAGTTAAAACTATTTGCTTTTACATCAGCTGCTCATTATTACACAGCACACATAAATGCCTAAATATAGGAATTAGTCTGAAAGTTGGCAATCACAGGGACAAGAAGCAGAACCAGATCCAGCAAATCTTCACAACATTCAAGCACACAAAAGTGATAATCTAGAAGCCTTCAAAATTCTCTCAAGTAATGTCATTTTAGTTCCTATCTCAGTCTCCCAGAACAGCTGCCTGTCTTTGACTATTACAAGAATTTGGATTCTTTTTGCTTCCAAAAGCCAACAGCCTGCAAGCACTCAAGAAGTTTAGGAGAGTAAAAGCAATGTACACTGAAGCTGCTACATTCCAGGCATCACCTATGTTTCAATGGCCTGTTTGTCCTGCTTGGATGCAAACTCTGAGCAAAAAATGCTCCTTGCAAGTGAGGAAACCACTCACTATCCCATACTTCAAGCATATATGACCATTGAAATCCATTTTTACAGCTCCATAGGAATTACTTACAAGCTATTACATCTCGAAAACAAATCCCATGGTCTCTCCCCATGATGGTTTTCCATGTCACATCCCTCATCAGCATCAGAGCTTCTACTTGTCCACATTGCCAAGGACATCAAACCTAACAGCTGCCTCATACACAGCTCCCGGGCTTTCCAAGTCCATTGGTTTTCACTCAGGTGTTTTGGGTTGCAGACAGACACATCTGCATGTAAATTTTTAGCAATTGATTCAAGATCCAGGGCCAGCAGCAACCACACTGGGCTTTCAGTTCCCTCTGCTCAATGTGGAATTGTTCCAGCAGTAGCTTGGCCACAGCATCCAAAACACAAAAACCCCACCATGGATGCCAGCAGATGAGCCCATGTCACTATTACAGAGGCAACATTTTCAAGATGCTTACTGTACTATCTCCTAAGACTTAGGTTTTACATTCTGCTTTAAAAACTGGACGAAAATTAGACTTGTCTAATTATTTGCGGTTTTATTTGAGTCTATAAAGGACAGTAATACAACAACAATTTGGCAATACAAAATCTGGAGGACAGTTCATAATCAGTGTCATCCTATTGCCATCACCATTGTTTTTCTAGGCCTTTATGTAAATTTCAATCAGGTTCAAGCCCACTGCACTTGCTCTTGATTTTAGTTTTTAACACCTGGATGTGTAAGAAGTACCTGTTACACCCACAGGTAACAATTTTCCTCAATCCAGAGGTGATCCTCAGAGCAGACCCATCACACAGCCCAAGGACCCAAGAGTGATTACAGCAGAAACCAACCAAACAAAGAGTCACAGGGTAGGAGAGGGTTTTTATGGCACTCTGTAGTGTTCTCACACACTATTCCCAGTGAAACCTGTACCATAATCCCTATCCAGGGAATATATTACCCTGAGGACAATAAATGTCCAGTCTCTGCTGACATACCTAGCTAGGAACACCCTTTTTATTGATGGCATCAAGTTCACAGAGGCAAACAAGAGCATGCTGAAATAATAGACATGGTTCATTCTCAGGAAGATCACAGATTCATACAACTGTGTTCATCCCTGCTTGTAGCAGGTTGTTGTTTTGGATTTTTTTTTTTTTTTTTTTACTTACAGCTTCAATGATCTTGTTCGAAAAAGATCTAATCCCTTTCGTAACTGTAATTTATCCATATTTCATTTCCCTAATGTGGCATCACTCACCAGCTTTTATCAAATATCACCACTTACCTAGCAGGCAATATTTCCATCTGCTGAGTAGAGAAACAGTACGAGAACTACACAAAACCAGCTGCAGAATGTCAGGCAAGGAGGAGAAATGGCTCCACATTGCATGGTAACACAGGTTCCTCTGACAGCACCTTTCACTGGAATTCAGGAATACCAGACAACTTCTAAAACACTCTAGTGTTGCTTTCTTCCAAGATGACAGTATTTGTATTCAAGCTTCTAGCAGGTAGCTGGTTCAGCCTGAGTACACCACCTTATTTACATATTAATTTAAAAAATAATCATCCAAAACACCAGCAGTAGCTACCTGCGTCCATACAAATTCTGACAAAATTCATTTTCCCCATTTATCAACCGAGTTTTTAAAAAGCTATTGGCCTAGTTAGCAAATCAAGGGATATAAATGTGAGCTTTAATTTTAATAACATGTCATTACCTAACAACAAGTAATCCCTAAAGGGACATATTTGCACTTTTTAGGTCACTGAAGTATTTTGCCTCTTGCTGTTGACAGGCTATATTCAAATCACAGCCAAACACCTGTATTTAAATGCTTTTTGCTTTCAAATTGACTAATTTTTTTCAGCTGTATGTAATCTCATTTCAGTGCTTGCTGTGAGAGCAAGCCAGTCAGGCTCAAATTAGAAAATTTTATATGATTAAAGTGTCTAAATCACCTTGAAATATTAAGTTTGAGATAGATTAATGTTCATTTTGTCAAACACCCACTTTAATCCAATATGTTACAGAAGCAAAGCAATCCTCCCCATTCACACAGAGAGCAGCCTGTACAATTCTCAATCTGAAGAATCAGTTCCCTCCTGAAACAGCTCGTCTTATTTAAGAAAAGGTAAAAGTCATCTCCTTAGACTACTGCATTCCTTAATCTAAATTCAGGATTTTGCCTATCAGCCTGGAAATACAAAATCTCTCTGGTTTATATTAAACTTCATTGGTTTGCACAGTAAAATAGTCAAAGCACATATCCTCTACCAGAATCACAGCCAAAACACCTTCATTACCCCAACACTGCATGAGTATCTCCATTTTATTTTCCTTATGTTTTCCCACTGCAGTTTCTGCTGCACTGACATCACCACCACCAACTCAAAAGGCACACCGTGTTTTCCATTACCGAAAGCTGCACAGACATGCATACTCTGCCTTCACCATATAGATAACACATAAAAACTATTACCGTATAGATGATGGCAATTTTCCAGCTTGGGTGGGGGGAGAGGAGCATGTTCTGCAATATTTTTCAGCTGTTGTTTAAATCCCACAAAGAACAACAACGAGACTACATGAAAGAAACTGAATTTCTCTTTTAACATTACAATGAATAAAATGGACCAGCACTTGAATTCGGCATTTAAAGCAAAACAAGGGCTCCCAATTGTTGACATTTGTCTGCAGACCAGTTTTAAAACACATGTAATGCTCCATCCTAAAAGCTTTTGTCAGATAATTTGGAGAGGATTAGCAAGTGAGCAATTAGTACATGCAGTTCACATCAACTACCACGCCAATTAGCATCATAAATCAAACCAGCAACCCTCTGACTGAATCCTATTATGCGGCAAGCAAGATGTTCCAGTAAGCAAAATATTCCCAGAGAAGTAATGTCTTCCTGGAAGCCACCTAGGGCTCCTGAGCTCAGCTCAAATGCTACTTTTATCAGCAGCTATCAAGGCAGGTGTCTGCTGCAGGTATTGATCACCTGGCACCCAGATGCCACACAACTCCCTCCCTCCAGCTCAGGGTCACACGCCTGGATATTCAGCCCAGCTTTTGCCTGCAGCAAGCTGTGCCACACCCTACTTAAATTTCATTTTCAAACAAGTCAATAGCTGGATCCTTCCATCCATAAACTCATGTACTGTTGTACATCCAGATGCTATTAAATGCCACAATCTCATAGAGGTGAGGCATTTTTGAAGCTTAATTAATGCAGGTTAAAATAAGACTCTTATTTTGCATGAGAAAAATAATGAAAGGGGACTAAATGGATGAGTTGCCTCAGGGTATAGGAATCGTTTTCCTCAGCTGGTTTCTGCTCCTCCCTGCTTTCATTTACTCAGCTCCAAGGGTGGAACTATAGATTGCCATTCAAGTAGCACAACTGCCGTAGCAAAATGATAAACCACTCCGGCAAGGTCCCACCTGCACTCAGGCTGCTGCTATAGATTTCTGCTGTATTCAGAACATACCAGCACAACTGTCAATTCTTACAGTTTCATTATCCATCACTCATGTCACCACCCTGTGCAGGGGCTCAGAAGCTGGCTCATGGATCCAGAGAGATCGTTCAACCCCAAGCCTGAACAGCAATCCAAAACTAATTTCAGGAAGGAAAACTATTACTTGGCTTTATTCACAGTAGAAAGAAAATAATCCTATTAATTCTTTAGCATGTATTGAAAATATGAACAAAGCTTTACTACAAAAGCACTTTAAACTCTGCTATATCACGGATTTTATGTTCATGACAGCAATGGCACATTATTTTCCTTCATTGTCATTATTTATTAGCTTTGATAGTTGACAACTGTACCCTTGGCAGCACAACCAATAACACCTTCTGGCCAGAAACAGAGATGGTGCAATTCATTACAAAGTGATTTTTATTATCAGAATTCTCACAATCAAATACCCACATCTGTAGAGACTTTCCAAGCTACCATTCTAATTTTAGCGCTCAACAGTGATCCAAATCAGAGATTTACAGCCCATCTTTCTCCTTCTCCATAACCTGCCTCCCCACAGCAGCAGATACTAAGCCATACGTCACTTCAGTGATAGTAAGCGCCTATCTCTGACTTTTGATTATTTAACGGGCCAAATTTGTCATGTCACACCAGCTTACCTAAAGATAAACACCTACCGGGGTCTATCCATGAGCGGTACAATGGCTGTAACAGTTTACTACAACCTAATGTTAGTTAATGTTTTCTCCTTCCACATCAGGAACAACTCGGTCACTGAAGCCTAACTATGACCACTATGTAAAATTTACAAAAGAAAAGACATCAATATTCTAACCTAAGAATCCAATGGCAGTTCAATTACTCTTTCTTACTATTCCAGCATTACTAAATGGATGAAATAAGTTTCCAAGAGATCCTTTGCACCCTGCAGTCAGATCAACTTTTTGAAATAACACAGGCGATTTCTTAGGCCAAGTCTATGACAAGAAGTGCCATTGGTTCCTACTGCTATAAGTTGGCTTTATGGATTTCTTGGCTGCATTCATGTGCTACAGCTGCCACTGGAAGGCTGAGGGATGACCTGATTTTTGCCTTTGAGACATGAAAATTACTTCAAGCCACCTCAAGCAATTCCACTGAATGAGTAATTCTGGCTGTAACAGCGTAGAAAACAGGAGGGAAAAGGACCATTCCATCAATTTGCACCTGCTAACCTAGTTCAAAACAGCAGATTTAAACTGCAAAGCCACAATCATTTTTATGCTTTGAGAACACTCCTAGATCTTCTCTATAATGCATTTACATAGCTGTAAAACTACCCTCCGTAAATTTCTAGGCAAGCCTACTTGAGATTGTTTCCTGGACCTGGACATATATTCCAACTTCATGTTTATCAATTCATTCACAACCTTAGACGTTTCAATCTCCTTCCTCACCTCCCTAGTTATGGAGTTGGGTGGAGTTTGGCTGGTGTATCTTTGAGGAAATTCACTGCTGGAGCAAAACCAGCAGCTGTCCAAACACTGTCGGATCTTGCACAGCAAGAACCACAGAATCTCCTGAGCTGGAATAATCCTGATGCACAAGGATCATGGGGTCCAACCATCACCCTGCATAGACACCCCAACAATCCCACCCTTGGCATTCCTGGGAGCATTGTCCAAATGCTCCTGGAGCTCTGGCAGCCTTGGGGCTGTGACCATTCCCTGTGGAGCCTGGGCAGTGCCCAGCATCCTCTGGGAGAAGAACCTTTTCCTAAAATCCAACCTAAACATCTCCAACACAGCTTAGAGATGCTATAACAAAGGGTTCCACAGATACTGGGGGAGAATTTAGGGGGAAAAAAACACAAACAAACAAAAAAAAAAGAAAACTAGGAGAAGTAACATCTCTTCAACACTAAAACTTTCAAGTCCAAGATGATTCTAACCAGGTAAAAATTCCTCATTTGTCCACACACTGGCTAGCTCCAAATTCACATGCCAGGCACCTGAGTTGGGATGTCACCCAAGTGATGCAAACAGCTCCTGGCACACAAGGAGTTAACTCAGACACACCAGCACTTGCCAGGTTAAATAGGATCCATTTAAATGATTGCTGTCTGGGCATTCCAGTGCCATGCTTTTAGCATAATTCCTCTGGAGAGCACAGTTGCTGTGATACCAAAAAGACAGGCGTCCTGGCTGCTGGCCTGAGCAGGAGAAGCTCAAACAAAGATAAGAATCTCTCACATTCGAACCTACTGTATCTGTATAACCGAGTACAAAACCCTGCAACAGTGACTGACTGGCTGTGTCATTCCTACTTCTGGCTATGGCACTGAAGAAGACTGTTGTAAATTATAGAGACAGTGGCAGAATTAATAAGAAATTTAAACTAAAACCACGGATGTTGTTCCTTTTTGTAAATGTAAGCACCACCAAGTTCAAGTCGAGGTTTCGAGTTAAAGTCATGTTGAGCATTCATTTGGTCTAAACTATAAACAGTTCCTCAATCCCTTTAAAAATAACGAAAAAAAAATTTGAAAAATTTAAGCTTCTCACAGACAAACACAAAGCAATACATCAAAAACTACAGATTCAATTCCAGTGTTCCCCAGAGTCCCTTTGCTTGCCTGTATCTTTCTTTGGGATAAAAGGGAAAATTACCAAACAAAGTAACTGTCTCATCATTGGGTTTACATTCATTATCCAACTATGTAAACTAGTAAAGTTACAAAGGAAACACTGAAATTACATCTTTCACACAGATCAACCCTGTGGTTTTAGCTCTGGCTTCCTGAAGTGGTTAACTGAAGCTTATTTAAGCAGCAAGAAAGAAAAGTGAAAGAACAAGTCATTCTCTGGTTAGAAATACACCACTATCTTAACACCCTGTCATCTCTACCACTATGCAGGCTCCAAATAGATTAGTCAGGATCCTGAAATTGAATTAATGAGGCTGAATGTGCACATACTGATTAAATAACACATCTGCTTCTACCCACTTAAGAAAAAAATTATTAAATACTTCCAGAGGGCTTTGGAATTGCCAGCTGCCCACAATGGACTCACCACCACCAAGGAAACCTGACATCCTCACTGTTTCCACCTTGGAATTAAAATTTAAAATAAACTTACTAAAAAATCATAGATTGCTGGTAGCCAAAATACCTCTAAATGAGACGTTACCTTATTTCTAACATGGATCACAAGATTTATGCTGCATTTATAACCTTAGCACAATTACAAGAGAAGCACAAATTAACTGCAAACAACTTCAGATCAAAAACTACTAGGAAGTAGTTGAAAGGTCTCTCCTTACAGACACTAGGTTAAAATCACCCTCCTTTTCACTCTCCATTGGTATAGAAACCACAGAAGTCAAACATCAAAAATCGGCAGCATCCCAACTTGTCCACATCTGGCACTGTCTTTGCTCTATTTCATGGTGTGAGGACAGGCAGGAACACAAAAGAGAAGCTGAGCCACAGTTCTCCCTCAGTACAGGTGAGTCAAAGTACAAACAGTGCTTAAAGGCAGTCAAGGACAAAAACTAATATAACAGAAGACAAATCTCTTACTCCCACAGACATTAGGATTATCAAAACTATTGAATATACCACTTGCTGTCTCAGAACAGAAAACTTTATCCACCGTAGATTAGTAAGCAATCATTTTGGATTTGTTCCACGGCTGATATAAAGCTGTGTGTACAAAGGTCACACAGAAAACCCCTCACATAAAAACTAACAATTGCAGAAAGCGATATTTGAAATGCACTCGCAGTAAAGGGTCACAGAGTTGAGGTGCAACTGAGTTCTGAGATTTTTCTGGAGCTTACATTACCTTTTCTTCAAAGATTTGCTAAAAATACCAACACTACCATTCATCTTGCTTATTGGCAAGGACAAAACCAATCCCAGTGGTGACGCAGTAGAGAACAGAGTATTCCTGAAGTCTGGGGAGTTGTTCAACTGCCCGGTACTACTCCAAGCCTCTCTCATTAGCCAAAAACAATGTGGGATTTTTTAATTTCACTTACAAACATACTGCAGCCTTAGCATACTGCCTAAGTGCATCCCTTAAATATTAGCAATTAATGACCTATCTAATATTCTCACCTCAGTTTTCACAGCATGATCAAAGATACAAACCTATTCCTTCAGGTGGCAAAGTTAAGGCTAAGACCGTGGTTACTCAAGTCCTGGAAAACAAGCACTTCTCCTAATTGGAAAATAAGTTTTGTGAAGATACTTAGCTTGAGCACCGATGTCACCTCCTTGAAACCACAAATTTTTGTTACTGCTAAGTACTATGCAGAACACAAACACAGCAGCCCAACTTCCAAAGCGTTCCCTTTTCCCAAGTGCCTGAGCTGAGCAAAAGCAAATCCAATGTCCTATCTGCTGCTCTGCTGAGTGCCCCCTCTTAGGGTGTAGGACTCATTTGCCAATTTAAATAGAAATAAAAACAGTGATATGTATACACAGCAGCACGAACTCTTGTATCAGCATTACTGCCTGCTGCTTTCAACTAACTCCCCAAAGCAAACGGTGGGAGAGGGCCGGCACACTCACTGAAAACTCTAAAGCCTCATTATACATTTGCTCCATCAACATCAGCTGATCCACAGCAGGTCTCCTTTTTTTTTTGCCCCGGAGAAAGAAGTTATCCTCACAAGTTAATGGTTTAAGGCTTTCCTCTTGATCTGTAAGTTTTCTGCACTTGTTCAAAAGCATGTGATATTTAATCATGCAGCTATTGCAGAGAATAGCAGTGAAGCATATAATTTAAAGCCAGAATAAGACATTCCAGGAACTTCAGAGACAACTGTCAAACCTAGTTTTTAGTTTACCATGCAAGTACAGTTAATATCAAGCATTTGAATCCTCTTGTTTACCCACACACTGGAATCTGACATCTTCCACATTAAAAAGAAATATCTTTCCATTTGCAGATGAGCCACACAAACAGCAAAACTGTGCTGCATTTCACCCACTTCTTCACACTGGAGGTCTACAAACAATAAGAGTAGGTCACAGAATGGTTTGGTTTGGAAGGGACCTTCAAGATCATACCATTCCAGCCCCTGCCACGGGCAGGGACATCTCCCACTATCCCAGGTTGCTCCAAGCCAGGCCTTGGACACCTGCAGGGATGTAGCAGCCACAGCTTCTCTGGGCACTCTGCGCCAGGGCCTCAGCACCCTCAGTGCTAAGCACCCTCTGAATGTTATCTTCGAGCCAGGTTAACAGCTCAGGGCACAAAGGTGCACGTGCACAATCAGCAGAAAAGGGCATTAAGAGACTTGTCCCCAACACCCCTGGCTGCAACAGGAAACAATCCTCACCCAAGTAGATGCTTACTGTGCTTGTGCAAGCTCAGAATTTACCTGGATACACTTACTCACCAGCTCTGTGGGCACATTCCCCACACCTGAATCACCTGATTTAATCCCTCAGCAAACCAACAAAACCAGCACATTCCCATGCTCCGCTGCGCTCGCCCAGAAACCTGAAACAAGACGGCTGTTTGGGGAATCAGATTGATCCTGTGAAATTACATCATTTGAGCCACAGTTCCACGATGCAAACATAACAAAAGCTCTAAGAGGCCAATTGCTATTATGGTTTCTAGATGCAATTGTTTTATGTGCTATCCAGGAATTTCTTTGGTCAGTGATGCCTAAATAGCTGAACTATGCCATCATTCCTTTGATGTACTGAAATAATATAACAAGTACCCAGAAAATCCCTGAATGGTCTGGATTGGAAGGCACCTTAAAGCCCATCCAATTCCACCTGCCCCAGCATGGGCAGGGACACCTTCCACTATCCCAGGTTGCTCCTACTCCAAGCCCTGTCTAAGCTGGCCTGGAACAGTTGCAGCCTTGTATTTCCCAGAGAAAACAATGCTTTTGCAGCACATGTATTTTCCAAGTCATTTGTCTCAGCCTTCAATAGCAGCAGAAGTGTTAAGACACTACTGCTGCCTCAACTGCAAGACTGAGTATGACTCCTGCTCTAACACTGTTCTCAACATACTCAATGCCAGCATTCAAGGGGCTGCAAAGTTGGAGAGCTGCAACAATCAGATGCCTCTAAGGCTCCTGTACTTTAAGAGTTTTAGCTCCACCCTGAATTACTTTGTTTTCAGGAAACAGTACTTTTAAAAGTGACCAGAAGGAAAAACAAAATAAAGCAAGGTTTGTACCGTCTCCCATTTTCTCCCACCCACACACTTGCCAGAGTATTTTTGCACTGCTTTGAGCAAGTTATTTCCAAATGGACAATCTAATTTTCCCTAAGATTTAGATTATTTCTCGATAATCACTTAATAATCATCATTTCAAAAATTAAAACTAGGATTTACAACATGCTTTTTTTAAATTTTACTTTTAACAGAAAAACTAGAATAAAGATCACAAAAAGCTCTGGAACACAGCAACTCATACCTGCATTATGTCTGGTATGGCATTCTTACCAATTAAAGCAATAATTTCCCCTTAAATAAATAATAACTACTTGAGATGCTCAACACCTGCTGCATCAGCATGTTAGTACTAAGACTATTAGTATTTCTATAGACTATTAATAGTGTCTACATCATCTTGGCTAAAGTGTTATAAAGTCTTTTCATTAAGCATTCAAAATTAGGTTTTTTTACCATATTTCCTTGGTTTCCCATCATGCTAAAATTTATAAAAATATAGTGCTAGTCTCAGCCTGGATGGTGAGAAACCGGAACTGACATATTCAGCTGTTACCTACCCTTGCAGATCACCACACCGTGGAACCTCAAGATATTTTCAGTAACCTAAAGACCACACGCAAAATACGAAGGCAATTCATATTTTTTCTCCCTGTTTCTAAGCACACAACATACTTGGTATAAGGAATGTTTAATGTTGATCAAGCAGCACTGCTGTGAACTACAGAACATGGGAAGGCGGATTTTACTATGGTAAAGTCTGTGTACCAGACTAATAATATTACCCTGTCATTAAACTAACATAACAGTCCAAGTTACTCTAAAACTGACTGGCTACTTAGCATTAATTTCCTACAAAAAAATGCACAACAAATGCTTTTGAACTGTTGACTCTGCAACTCTGAGACATGCAAGAACCTGGAAGCAGCCCACTTTTATTTTAGCACCTTTATCTACTGAGGAAAAACTAAAGAAGCACTATCACCCAGAACAGTTTTATCCAGTATCGCATGTAACTTAGAATAATACAAAGCAAGAAATCTCTGTGCAAAAAAGTAAGGACAAATCAATTTAGGAGCCAGTTTAGCACTTGCTCTCTTCATATTAGATAGCACTCTTGTACTTGAATATAAACAACTGCTGCTGAAAGGGGAGTTTGAATTTCAGATTATTTCAACAGTCTTTGGGTCCAGCAAGTATGCCTAGACACTCCTATGAACTCCAAATGTAACAAAGGAAGAGGGTTTACATTGCAAATAAAATCCAAAGTGCTGGAAAGACAGTGCCACTCTACATAGGAAAGAAAACTCTAGGAATCAGTAATAGGAACTCCACTGAAAGTCCTGAATTGCTTAAGATTCCAAGCATGTTCTTCTCCAGAGCTGTCGAACCTCTTCTCTTCAGCAGGAGAGTATTAAATAATCAGTTCAAGGAGTACATGCAGGTTGGAGTTTATGTTTAAAGCAGCCTGAACTAAAAGTCTATTCTCTTCACGGGGTACAGTTCTGCTTGCAGCAGAAGGAACTCTTCCAGGAAGTTACTTCGTATTTTCTCACAGCAGCCACATGCCAACCACACAATTCCTGTCAGTGAACCTCAAGTACCCCGAGGTTAAAAGATTTTATGATTTGGGGAGTATCAGTACAACACTAAACTCATTGCAGCAGAATTGGAAGGCAACCACCACAATCCAAATGCCTGTGTTTCCTACATGCAACACATGGCACTACCACACGGATTTAAAAGCTGCTATTAGTGAGAAAGAGTTAGCTAAAGGAGGTTTATCAAAAAATACAGCCTGGTAGAGTTGTAATCTAAAGGGGTGAGGACAAATCCCTAACTCTGCAACTATTCAATTTTTAAATATTTAAGAGCTAGCTGAAGAGCCCTCAGAAGACATACAATACACTCATTATCTAGATAAATCGTTCCCATCTATCAGAGCTACTGCTCTCATGACTCAGCGTCCAATAAAAGTTAGACAGCAAATTATCTGTGAAGGTTTTACTCATCCTCTCAGCTCTTGAAACGTGTTTTTAGACTGCTATTTTGGTTTTCAAGTTTTTGTGATTGACAAATGAGCTGAGCCACAGTTAGGTAACAGAAATCATTAATACATAAAAGACTAACACGAGTCACATGCTAAGGAGATAACTACATCCAGTGCTTCACGTCCTCCTCCCACTTCCACACAACCTTGGCACGTCGCTAGAGCTCAAGCATCTTATTCACAAACACATTTACACCACATAAACATGTATTAATTACCACTTGAAAAAATGCTCTGCTGAAGGCATCATCCATCCCGCAGAAATCCAAACACCAGCAGCACACAGAAAGGGACGGTGCTTGTGCTAATCTTCCCACCAGATATATTAGTAAGTTTTAAACTCCTTAAGAGAGGAAAGAAAAGGGCAGAGCACCCTCAGGAGGGGACAGCCCCACACCATAATCTCAGTAGTGACTAATAAAACAGAAAATATCCACAAATCTCTACCACAAACTTGGTCAGATGTAGATACTGACTTGGGGACTGCTCTGCAGTAAGTGACAGGCACTGCCAGCCTCCCTGCCGTGCCACACAACACACTAAACCCAAAATGTTAACTGCAAGAACCATGACGTCTGTCTATTCAAGCTCCACTGCTCAAGAGGCACACAAATAAATCTTTCAGGCAACAATCTCAATAGCAGCTTTTCCATCGGGACTTTTTGATTACATATCATTTAAAGACCAGCTAGGCCACCAACACAAGACGGTTTTAGGCAACTCTATCTCAGCTGCTGTACTTCACACTCTGTTACCTTGAATCCCTTCCAAAACAGCGACAAGATACTCTAGTTGGAAAAGCACAGGACGTGAAGCTCAGCAAGTTATCGTAAGTCATACATTTCTCCACAAAATGCACATTCCTAGCCAATACCGTTTGCTCTTTTTAACTCCACCAACAGTTAAGAAAAAATATCTGCAGACTTCCCTACGCTGGTGATTTCTTTCCTTATTTTTGTGCATCCTAAGCAGTTCAAGCCTCTGTAGTGCTCCTGCGGGGATAGATGCACATAAATCTAAGCTTAGAGGGCTGTTATCTCCATCTTGCCTCCCGACCTGTTTTTACACTACTGCACAGACTGATACCGCTCCACAACCCAGCTGCAGGTCTTGTTTACTCACTTCACACCACCAAACCACAGCCCCACAGTCTCCATCACATGCTGCAGGGAGCGCCGAAGAAAATTTCATTTTCCCGAACCCTTCTGCAGGCAAAACGAGCATCACCTTTCCCACCGTACCCCAGCCCGAAGGAGCCCGCTGCTCTCCCGCACAGCAGCAGTAGCAGAACTGCAGAGTAGCAGAACAACTTCTAAACCCCGCAAATCCCACCAGATGAGCCACCCGGGGCATTCAGCACCGAGGAAATGATGGGGACCAAGCCAGAACACCTCCAGCTCCCTGAAAACGCCAGCCACGAGGGGTGGAGGAAGGGCAGGCAGCCCGGAGCGGGGCCGCAGCAGCTCCCAAGGACCCGCGGGCCATGGGCTGGGGGGCACGGGGTGCAAGGTACGGGGGGAGAGGAGGACCATGGGCTGGGGGAGATGAGGGGGAGCAGGGCCATGGAGGAGGCGGGGCGGCGGGGACAGGGCTATTTGTGGGGTGGCGGTGGGGGGGAAGAAGGGGTAAGAAACAGAGCCGTGGGCTGGAACGGGTGGGGGGGTGACGGATAAACAGAGGCACAGCCTTAGGGAAGGCGGGGGGTGGATAAACAGAGCCATGCGCTGGGGGAGGCTTGAGACGGAGAACGGAACTGGCAGACGTTAGGTGAGGGGGAGCAGAGCAGTAGGCTAGGGGAGGTTTTCGGGGCGCAGGGCCATGGGCTAGAGAGGCTCTGGGGGGAGCACAGAGCCATGGATTGGGGGAGGTTCTGGGGAGTACAGGGCCAGGGGTTGGGGGAGGTTTTGGGGCACCCTCCGGCGCTCGCTCCCTCTCCCCGCCGTGCCGGGGCCGAGGTCTCACCTTCGATGGCGATGACATGCTCGCGGATCTGGTTCTGCAGCACGGGCTCCTCCACCCGCTCCAGCAGCTCGTAGATGGAGTAGATGTTGGGATGCACCGACTCGAAGCGCTGGATCTCGGCCCGGATGGCTGCCGAGTTGGCCAGCTGCTGCTGGTAGTTCATGGCGCGGCCGCTCCGCTCCGGCCCCCTCACGCTGAGACCCCCGGGCGGCGGCGGGGGCGAGCCCGGGCCACCGCCGCCGCCTCACTCACCGGACGCCCCCACCCCCCCCGCCGGGCCGGCAGCAGCGCCTTGGCCTCGCAGCGCGCTGTCACTTCACGACGACGGCGGCGGCGGGGCGGGACAGGGCCGCCCCCGGCCCCATGGAGGGAGGGACGAAGGACCCGCTCCCGGTGGCGGTCCCGCCGCCTCTCAGCCCCTCACGGCTCCCGGTCCTGCCGCCGCCGCCCCCGGCGCGCGCACCCCTCCCAGCCAATGGCCGGGCCCCCCTCCCCCGCGCGCGCGCGCCCCCGCGGCAGCCAATGGCCGGGGCCCCGCCGCGGCCCCGCGCCCTCCCACGCGCTCGCCCCGCGTCCTTCCCCGCTTGCCCCGCTTCACGCCGGCGTAGGCCACGCCCCCTCCCGGTGAGGTCACCGCGCAGGCTCCGCACTGCCCCACCCCCGGGGACGCTGGGAAATGTAGTCCCAGAGGGAGGGTCGGGGTCGCGCCTCTCCGCGTCCCCTCAGGGAAACCGGACCCGCCCCGTTCCGGGGACTCGGGTCCCGCCCGCACCAACGCCCGGCAGCGCTCACCCCGCAGGGAGGATGGAGCCCCTCACCGTGCGCCCGGCCCCCGCGGCCGCCGGAGCCCTGAAAGTGATGGAAGTCGGGGATTTGTGCCCAAAGGGCGCCATTCACGCCTGGAATGGCAGCCCCATCCCTGGAAGTGCTCCACGCCAGGCTGGACGGGGCTCGGAGCACCCTGGAATAGTGGAAGGTGTCTCTGCCCATGGCAGGGGCTGGAATGGGATGATCCTTAAGGCTCCTTCCAGCTGAAACCGACGTGTAATTCTATGACTTGTCAGAAATACTTGTCTCACGGAGTAATGAAGCACTGTTGGCATTGCACAAACAGAGTTATTTGCAATATCGGTTGCAAGCCAGCTGTGCACTGTCAGCCACTGACCTCGATTAATTCGTTTTTAGGATCGATGTTCTATGGATTTAAGCTCCAAAGCTGTGAAACGTGGAGCAAACTTTGATATAGGAAACAGCATAAGGACAACTTGTTATAAGATAGCCTCAGGAAAACTGTATCCATCCATTCTACTGACATATACCACAGGAAGGAAGAAAGTAATTTCAATAATTTCCCCCCCTCAAAATGTCTTTATTTGGGTACAGAGCTCTGGGCTGGAGGTGGAATGAGATGAGCTTTAAGTCCCTTCCATTCCTAACCACTCTTGATGTGACGGTTTACACCGAAAGAGAAAGAACTATAGAGGTGACAAATCAAGCTGTGATATGAGACTGAATTTTCGGATGCTGCTGTGGTTGATGTCTGCTGCAAGAATTATCTTCTGCTCATTTGAACAGTTCAGGGACATACTGCCGTAGATGCCTGTGTCTTCTTCCCTCCTCCTTCTCAGCAGAAACTGGTATCGTTTTTATCAGCTTTCTCATTTTTATTTTCTAATCCTACGAGGAAATTCTTGAGTGGATAAAGAAATAAATTTAAAATGCAGTAAGAATATAGTCCCCTTTCCACTAGTGAGTGCCACTGAGGGCATTAATGATGCTGATAAAAATTTGTGAAACGTAAGAGGATTTTTGCTTTCATTTACTTTAAACTGTTTGAATAAGCTAAGTGTATGTAGAAATCTGGATGAAAGACGTAATTCTCCCCTTTTCCTCCCTCTATCCTGATCCGGAGCAGAGGCACTACCTCACATTACTTGTGTCTCAGAAAATGCCAAAACAAGCAGCAGAGCCAAGAGTCAGGCAACAGCCTCTGCTGTATGTGAGGCTGATTGTTTCCACTGCTGCCATATGCTTTGTGTTCTTCCAGCTCTAAAATTCATGGAAAACAACTCCCAGAGTAGTCTCAGCTATAAATGAATGCAACTACTGCACACAAATAACTGAAGCATTAAAACCCTGTGTTAATATAAAGCCTTTTTGTAATATTTTCATCTATAGTCCTCCCATTATGCCTTTGCTACCCTGATCTTTTTACTACATAATAGCTTTTGTGTAAGCTTTGTAAAATCACAGCAAAATATAATCTACTATTTCAGCTTACGCAGTTTTCTTTTGGAAGAAGGCCTTAACAATAAGTATTTTGCTTTTGCTTGCAGCTGAGACTGGCCTGAAATGCTGCTAGTGGTGCACAGAGAGATGCTGGATCCCTCTCTTTGCTCTCAAACTCTGCTCTGGAGGGTCTGGCATCCAAAGTGTTCCACCAGCCTTTAATGTGAACTGGCAGAGAGTGCCTTGGGCAGCTCTGCTGTGAGCAGTAAGGAATTCAGGTTTGTTTTTCTTTGGTCTGGGAGCAGGGGTAGTGTGGGCATTTCATGGGTTTTTGGGGTCTGGTTTTGTCAAAGGCAAGATGAACGTGCTCATCTGGAGATGTCGTGAAACTCAGACAATTTTACAAGTATGGAGGGGCTGATGGGCTGTAAGTGAAGCAGACAGAGTGGTCCCAATGTGGGCTACCCTTCTGGCACTGCTTTTTCCTTCTGAGGGTGAAAGCTTGCCAGGGGTGAAGCTTCCCACGGCTCTCCCACACAGCTGGTTCTGTGCTTAGGTCTCTAACAAAGTTCCATCTGTGCTGGCTTCCTCCTCCCCATCTGGCAAATCTACTCAGTGCCCTGCCTACAGAAAGCCAGCCTGGATAGTTTCCTTCTGCTCTTGGTGCCTTATTCCTGGAGGTATCAGAACTGGAAAGCAGCACTGAATCACCATCTCAATCAGTTCCATCTCCCATCACATGACAGAGCTTATCCACTTCCTGCTATTCCCAGTCTGTCCACCAAACCCTGCAGAGAGTGTAGGAAAGAATCTGGGCAGTCACAATTGATGCACTTGGACTCAAGGCATAGGGACAGTGATATTTTGCTTTTGGAAATGAGGCTGACATGTCCACCTTAATGAAAATATGACTGCACAAAAGTTCCACAGAGGTGTTGAAGGCACAGTTCACGAGCCATTAAGGTGATGCCTAAGCACAGATCTTGGAAATGGAGAACTCTCGTGGAATTTAATTTAAACCCCACCTGATCCTTCCCCTAATGCTTTGTTGAGATGTGGAGGAGCTTTCCTGGCTGCTGAAATGGGAGTTAGGCAGCACTAGCTTTTAGTTACTAATCCAGTGGCTGAAATGTTGATTGGAGGGAAAAAATGTCTAAAAGGTGCTCAAGCACCCTATCCTCATCCGTGCCTGAATTTAACATAAATTACATATCACAGACAGTTTGACACAGGGACTCAATTGTGGACCTAACAGGAAAGGATCAACTGAAAAAACTGAGAGCATAAGGACTCCTGCACCATCCAGGAGAAATTATAAGGGAAATCTTAGCTGATGGTTGTAAGCAACATTTTGCTTGACTGGGATTCTTTCTGTGTCTGTTCACAGTCTTAAAGCCTGGCTGTTCCTGAAATTGCTGTTGGTGTGAGCAGTGTTTTGTTTCATGGGCAGAGACTGTCTGGAAAAACACAGGAGACGGAGTGTTAGAGATGCGTCTTTGTGCCTACTAATACTGATATGCTATAGAGATTGAAATCAAACCCATATGAAAATCAGCTTTGGAATCATCAAGTTTTCCTGAATGATCTTCACCGTACTTTTCAGTGAATAGAAAAGCTTAAATAGGTTAAGCTTCTTCTCCTAACAAATTGGGATGAAATTCTGTTATTTTACTGGGTAAATATTTGGGTCAGTCAGTTACTATTACAGAGTGATTAGACTGCTCAAGAGGCTTTGAAACAAATGTAACTAATGAATTAACCTCATTCAGGGAGTGTGAAATCTGTTCCAGGAGAAATGCCAACTAGTTCAAACAATACTAATTACGAAGTAGCAACAACAAGCGGCTGTTGGAGCTATAGCTCATTCTCCAGTGCTCCTGTCAGAACTGGGAAAATGCTGTTCTGTACCCAACCTGCCTGAAAAAAGGTTGTAGGTCTCAGATTCAGTCAAAGAAAGAAACAGAGTTTCTAGCCAGGCAAAAGCCTGGGAAAGAGCTAGGAAGGAATGTAAATAATTTTTTATCTCTCTTGTTTTCACATTGTTTATAGTTAAGTTCTATCACTGTGCATCAAGCACTCTGAACCAATGTTGTAGATTGTTTTCACTTTAGGACCAATGGATTTAACCTTTGCGAAGCTCTGTATAAAAGAGCAGTGTATTTTGAATAAATCGGAGTTTTACTCTCACAGCCTTCTGAATCAGAGTCTTCTCATTCCTGTCCTGCCTCGACAGCAACAAAAGGTGGCAAAAACACCTGCTTTTCTGAAGGTAGAAGCACAGATCAAATCCTTGCTGCAAGGTCAAATTATCCTGCTTTAGGTTCTTCTAATCAGAAGTGAGCCACATACCGGCATGGAGCTGCAGAACAGGGAACTTGCAACAACTGTGTGTGTTCACCATATGAGGAAAGGAATCTGAGAGTCACTTCTCAATTTTAGCCCCAGGGACTTGGATTTCCACTAACCTGAATATTTCTGAAACATTAAAATGAACCATCTTTGAAACTGCCCGAGTTTTGGCTCCCTGTTGATTGAAGTTTCACTGTAAAACCATTTACAACATTTGCAGATTTGCAGAACTACTATCTTCTTTAAACCAAAGTCATTGTTCAGATCTGGACTTGTGTTGTGGCTTTGATCAGGCTGATGATGGTCTGTGCTCTAGCTTTAAGGTGTTTTCAGTGAAAATAAATGGCTTCTTCACACAAGGCAGGTTTTAGATACTAAGTTCTACCCAAGCTACCCAAAGCTTAGAAGCTTCAT